TATGCTTCAGGCACCCCCGCTGCCCTTGGGTCCATACAGTCAGAACTACAGTGGATCAGGAACATGAAACTTGTGCAAATGCAGGGAGTAGGAATACCTGCCATTTTAAGATCTCAAGGAGTATGAAAAGCATGTGAAACTTTCATCAGCAGAGATCTGCTGTCACTTCCAGTGTTTCCCTCAGGGCATGTCCACAGCTTCACTGGTCCTATTCAGAATGAAGATGACAGCTAGCACCTGCTGACACCTGAATCAGTGATAGGTTCTTCCTTGAAAGGAAGCGTATCCCCTTCATGGGTTACAACTAGTCCATAACCTAAATATTTCTATAGATGTAGAAGGGATATTTTCATTGTTTCTGCTATCACAGATTTGTCTCCAAAAGAACATGCCACCAGTTACTCCATTTTCACCCATTTAAAGATACACTTAACAGGCTTCCTTCTTTAGTGCAGTTTCAGGTTTACAGAAAAATTCACAGAAAGTGGAGTTCCCATATATTCCCTATGCCCTGCACACAGCTGCTTCTGCTGTCAGCATGTTACATTAGTGGATGCACTCATTCTTTTTGACATCCTTCATTCCTCCTCCCCTAAAGTTTAACATGCCTGATATTCACATCTCTTGTGGCATTTATGTGCGATTTACATCACTTCTCACGTTTATGTGAGGTTTACAGCACATGCATGTTGTCTGTTTAAACGTGGTTTGGGGGCAAGTTTCTGTGTAGAAATACAATCATTAGTGAGTCTCATGCTGCTGGGTTCTTGGGTTGTCAGGTCCTGTTGACCATTGCTTCAGTTATTGGGATCACTGTCTACGGACTTTCAGTGTTCATTGTATTTTCTGCAAAACTTCCCAAGAACCTGAATGGAAGAGATCCAATCCAGAAGTACCTGACTGTGCAGGTGGGCCACGCCCATCACTGCTTCCCTCATCAGTTTTATCATCATCGTGACCCTGAGCGCCATATATGAGAAAGTGGCAGTCATGATGACTGACTCTGGTAAGCTCCTCATGCAGCTGAGGTCATTTCTACACCAGTTTTAGAACCAGGTCTAAACAGAGACTGTATCTTTTAGCACTTCAATTCCAGTACATTACAGTCTTTAGAAAACTTCAAGTGTAAGTGTATTTTCTCTAGCCTATGTGAGAAGTGAATTAGCTCCAGCTTTGCATTAGTAAAAGGGACAAAGGTAGCATTAGAATGTCCAAGCTCTGTGTAAACTGGTCAGTGCCTAATAATAATTTCAATTACATTAGATCATGTACGCTATTGTTGAAAGTAAATAGTCTCTGTATTGCAAATAAGTGGAAGAGGGTCGTGGTTCCAGTGGCTGATTTGCTTGTGCATTATGGAGAGGACAAGTAATCACAGTCTTATGTGTGTTTCATGCTGTTCCTGTTAGTGTAGCTCCATTCTGATCAGCTGTGGCTTCTCTAATAAATGTTTCTTCTGTCTGGCTTGTATCCCAGCCAGCGGCTTAGCAGCCCAAGTTAAGTGCTTCCCACACGCTGCATGTGGCTGGGTCGTTCTCCCAGTGGTCTGCTCCGTGGTCATCTTCTGAAAACACCAAGACCAATTCAAATTCTGAACTAGGAGGATGACCCGTTTTATGTTCCCCAAATATTTCTAGCAAGCTGCCCTGTGTTTTGTATTTTCCTCAATAGTCCTACCTTACTGCCGTTCAGGGGGACAAGAGAATATCATTTAGCAGGATGTTTAAAAGTAGCTTTCTGTCAATTTACATCTGACAGAGGACAGTTCTTGCCCATTGGATACTGTTGTGCTTTTAAATTTTAAGGAATGGCTGACTTTTTTTTTTTTTGCCTTGTGGGATATTGCGTTCATAGTGGGAGAAACACAACAGTGTGTACACTTGGAATTAACATAGTAGCTATGTTAAGGAATTCAAAACAGCTTAAATGAAAACAGTGTGAATTGTGTATATATATATGTGTGTGTGTGAATGTGTATATATATATATATATGTATGTATATATATATATATATATATATATTTATATACACATACATACATATTTACCATGTTAACTCATGTGTCCATGGCTTTGATTAGGGTCTCAAAGCCGTTCACAGTTTTACAGACTTAACTTTTCTGTATTCTAGCTGCAGAGCTCCCAAGGACCAGACTGACTATGAGAACAAGCTAGTCATGGAGGTGTTCTTGTTCCAGTTTGTCAACTACTACTCCTCGTGCTTCTACATCACATTCTTTAAGGGCAGATTTGTGACTTATCCAGGAGATCTGGTGTATTGGCTCTGAAAATACAGAAATTAAGAGGTGTGAATACAGCTTT